CATGTTCCTTTGTTTCCATGGCAACGTTTTAGTGACGTCATTCACCGTCATATTACGGCCGCTTGATTACGGTACCGCTACCCGAGGAAACCCAAGCTTTACAGGCTCTTCGAACGAATCTTTGATACACTTACTGCCTATGTCGCTGTCTCAGTCAATCTTGATCACTTAGTCACTGATGTCATATCAACTGCAATGAAGCTAGCTCGCTCAAAGAATAAACAGAAGATTCGTTGCTTCAGCACCGCAGTTTGAATAGTAAAGTTCCCATTACACTTATTGACTGCATACAATGTGACATTTATCCCATTATCCTCTTCCGGCCTCTCCGAGTACACACGTATCAGTCGCGGTTTTCTCGAAACCTTAGATTCTTAAACTTGGCGGCGGTCAAACAAGCGACCGTTCAAGTGACTAGACTGCTGTTGTAGCAGGAGCTACTAATGATAGGGCATTATCTGCTGTACTGAGCCTGGACTGACAGAGGCAGATTGGCCGACTGACGGTCGGTCGTAACGTAACTTTGACTTTGACGCTGAAGAACGCTTAGTATAACTTCTTATCACTGAAACTATACTTACGTCCTGTTTAAAATGAACTGTAGAGCACTGTAGGAGCGCCCCCATCAGCTTGTGCGGGTTCCACGTCACGGAATCTGACCTGGAATAAGAGAATAGCATTAGTGTGGATTGGTCACCTTAATGATATAACAAAGCTAAGAGAGCATCTACAGCTATGATGGGTTGGCTCCACACAGAGCAGTTTAGCTCAGTGTTATTCGAGAAGTACACACCTGGTTATCGTGACTCATGTACCTAAGTCCTTTCAGCGAGTGCCCATATTTTGCTTTGAAATAAGCCATGACTGCTTCCATCATCATCTATTGTGCTGTGCATTTAATTTGATGCGAAATTAACTCTATAGTTGAAGTATCGCAGCTAACTAAAACATATAGGACTAAATTGTTCATCGTAACACTTGGTCTCTGACATTAAGGGAGAACAGGATGCTGAGGAGAATATTTTGACCGAAGAGAGATGAAGTGACAGGAGGTTGGAGAAAACTGCATAATGAGGAGCTTCATTACTTGTACTCTTCTCCAAGTATAATTAGAATTATCAAGTCAAGGAGGATGAGGTGGGCAGGGCGTGTAGCACAAATGGGGGAGACGAATGCATGTAGGATATTGGTGGGAAAGCCAGAAGGAAGGAGACCACTGGGAAGACCAAGACATGTGGATGAACAATATTAAAATGGATCTTAGAGAGATAGGATGGGATGGCATGGACTGGATTGACCTTGCTTAGGATAGGGACCAATGGAGGACGCTTGTGAACAAGGTAACGAACTTTCGGGTTCCATAAA